GTATTGACCGAAACTGGTTACTTTGGTCTTCAAAAAGCAATACGCGAGCTGGCATGATAATAGCCCACTTCTGAGATATGCTTCGCTTGTCACGCACAAAGGTTTCAGTATGAGGCTACGTGCTAAATGCTCAGTCATTCGTGACAGGCGGTAAGAATTAATTTAATTTAGCACGTAGCCTCATACTGAAACCTTTGTGCGTGACAAGCGAAGCATATCTCGGAAGTGGGCTATTGAAACAGGAACTCAGTGCAATTAATTATATCTTTTGTCATAAACAAGGTCTACAAATTTGAGTTTTTTTGTCATAAACAGAGTACCCCTTTCAGAATCCCAGCGGAACACCCCTACCCAAATCCTGGCGGAGTACCCCCCCGGGCTTGTCGACAAGGGCGGACTTCGGAGTTAGATAACAGACTTGTATTTCTTTAGAGAAAGCCATGGAATCAGACACTGAAAATATTAGGTATAAATTACTCTCATAAACAAGCTGTCAACCCACGAGTATCGCTGTTATTTAAGGTGTTTTTCAAGGGAAATAATTGGGCCCCAGACTGGATCCAATGAATGGTAAACATGGAACCTTCTATTGATGTACTTTTTATTCTGAGCTGAGTTTCGTTTAGCCAACGGAGGTCAAGCGTTTCCAATCCTCCATTCCGCGTGTTTTCTGAGCGCTTCAGGTACATTGTTTTGTTTTCAATAATGTTTGTTGTCGCATTAATTCGTTTTCATTCAGTTATTGTTTACTAGTAATGGCTTAGTTTCAAAAGAATTCTTTCGTATTTTTTTTCAATAAGCCTTTCATGATTTTATCCGATTGTGTGACGTCAAATTGATGTATTTATTGACGTCATTTCTAGTCCTTTGGGGAAATGTTGATCTAAACCTGTTTATCTTTTGAATGGCTCAAAATCCTTGGTTATTTCAGTGCTAGCATGTTTATGGACTTTCAAGTTTTGTTGTCTTAAAGCTTTAAGTTAGTTAAAAAAAGGGTTTTTTGAATGGGAATCCCTTTGTGTGATTTGATAAAGCTTRTGATTGGTTAATGGGGCAAGTGATGTCATCTTGAGTTGTTCAACTGGCAAAAACCAGACTTTGGTTTGATCGAACTTATGAAGGATAATTTGAAAATATTAACCACTATTTACCATAATGGCGAGATCGGAAGCTGATAGATTATAAAATGGACGACTGTCAACAGAAGTATCAAAAAGTTTACAATTATTTAAAGCGTACTCTTCCCCAGGAAAGATACGAAGGAATTCGAGTGATCGATCGGTGTGTGATTGTTGCTGATGGATTCAACAAGTCCTTCATGTTTGCTGTATTGGGAGATAACATGCTTTATATTACGGAAAATCCACCTAAATTACCTAGAGATATTCGTATTACTGTAGATCTTTCTACTATTACAAATGTAGAGTTGGTAAGTATGGCTTATTCAAGTCAATGTTCAGTAGTTTACGATATTGTCATCACTTCAATCCTTATCCAGGATATGGTTTATCATTGTCATAAAACTATCATCAGTAACCAAAACCGCTTAGATTTTCCTTACAGGAATTCTCCATCTATAAATAAACCTTGTTGCCAAGACTCTGGTTTATTTTTCTGAGTGTAAGCCAAATAGATAGGATATGATCTATTGGTTACTGTATTTCACAGTTATTTATCCACGCATTGTCAATAAATAAAGGCTAATATAGCAGCTAGAACAAGAGTTATACGAAGCTATTAGCTTAGCAGGAACATTCAGCAGCTAAAGTTATCCCCCATAATAGAACAAGATATTCTTTAAGTCCTTTTTGAAGCGCCAGTTGTTTTATTATTACGTTGTATTATATTTTTTCCTTTCTTAAATCTTTCCCAAAAAAGCTGTTTAATACTAAATTATACTGTTTTTTATAACTTTTTCTTCCTCATTTTCAATATTTTTTTGATCTTAGATCAATTTATTCGGATTTTGGCGTATTATTTACCAGCCATCTCCTTGACACACAGCTCAACTTTCATAATTTAAATGATGACTGATTTTGTGCATTATTTATTAGGTGAAAAGACATCTTCATAGAACTAGTATTTTCATTTGAATATATCTAAATCCATTATAGTTAATAGCCTACCTTCTCTCTCCACAGGGCCATAGTGATAACACCTGCCACTTTACTTCCTTTATTTTATTATTTTTCGTAATATTTTTGCTTTCTTAATTTTTGTTTTCAAGAAAATGCATAAAATTATATATATTGTACTGTACGTATTTTTGATGAATATCAAAAATTTTGAAAGGTGTTGATTTGTTTATAGTTTGTGATTTTAGTATAAAGCCCAGTGGACATAATTAAACTTACGTTAATTGTTTATTCACTATAATTGTAAATTTATTCTTTTGTGTGCTTATTTTTGTTTCTCAGTAAGTAATTACATAAAGTATTTGTTGCCACCTGACACACTTGTATACAAATGAATTTATAAAGTATTTGTGAACAATTTTTTCTATTTGTAGATCCATGACATTCCAGAATTCATTGGTGGTGATTTAAGAACACAGACACAACATATCATAGTGACTTATAAAACAACAGGTCCTCAAAAAACACAAACCAAAACAACTAAAGACTTGCCATCACCACGACAAGCACTTCAAACTCCACTTCTGACAGCATCGGCCTTGCTACGACTAAACCTGGAGGATGAACAGGATAGTACTACAGTACCTTCAGCATCACATTACCATTATAATAAGGACAGAATAATTGCAGAAGAAGGAAGTTATATGAAAAAGATATCAAGGAATTCTAATAAAATGAGTGTATCTGAAGGGAGTATTCCTCAACTTATAGAACAGGAAAGATTTCAAGCATCTTCTTCAACTGAGAGACATAATAGTTTATGTGTACCTTCYTCAGGACGACGTTTACCCCTCCCCCCCTCACATAAAGGACATAGGTTAGATTCTTATTCTAAGATCAAGCAACAGCCAAGAAAATCAAGACAAAAACATGATAGTGAAAGCAAAGAGCTTAATTCAAGCTCAAGCAGTAATGAACTGGATTTGTCTCAAGTAAAGACAGATTACAGTGATGACAGGCCAGGTAGACCATCATCTCTTGATTTACCACAAACATCAACCATTAAAGCATCATGGCGTTCAAGTAGAACAAGAAGTGTTGATGAAACCCATCAGACAGTGGAAGAAGAGAGTACCTATGTGACTGAAGGCAGTGCTGACAATATTTCACAGATACATATGTATATACTAGAACAGGGATCACCTATGTTTGCGTTTTTGAAAAGCACATGGAATAACTGCATCTTGGTAAGATTTTCCCTGTTATGATTATTCCCAATTATATTTAAAGCAATAGAACAATCACAAAGTGATGCTCCTAATAGGAATGTTATAAAATACATCAAGCAAAAGGTGCGATAAAAACAGCAACAGAATCACACAACTTGTTGTGCAACATTGTTGTGTTGCAAGCTGCAGAGCAACTGTTGCTCGTATTACTATTACACATGCAGCAACTTTTAATTGTTGCAACTTATGAGAGTTTTTACTACACAATGCATACACATCAATAAAAATTTGTTGAGTGCAGATTGCTAATATGAGCAACATCATCAAATTTTGCTCAGCAACTTGCAATGCAACAATAGTGTTTCATGACAATTAGTACAGTTGTTGTGAAATTTTGTTGCCCACATTTACTGCCATGTTAATGAGTTGGTGCTTGTATTATTGCAGAAATCTACATTGCATTTTGAAGGTCAAGGTTTCCCAGTAGCATGCTCATCACCAAGATCATTCTCAAAAGTTGACAAGTAAGATATACACCTGCAAAATGTGAAAATAAATATGATTTTTAAAAAAATATTTTGGGCTAGTAAATAAGTGATATAATTATGATTTTTCAGTTCTCAGCTACTCACTTTATTCAACCAACTCAAGACAGAGATTCTCCAATCACACAGAATGGAGAAAACCTTTGTTTTAATCAATGAATTGTTGACTGGTGCTCAGAAAAGCTTCTCTCTTAAAAAATTCTTCTGGAAGGTATGGAGCTAAACTGTTGCCATGAAGATCACTGGGACCCCAGCAGTAAAATATCAATTTTATCAAACCCTAAGGCTGCATTCATAATGTATGGCAGGGGGGGGTGGGGGCAGGTAAAATTTAGGGGGGTTTGAAAAATGTTTTCAGAGAATTGGGGGGGAGATACAAAATTTTCAGAAGGAGCTACGAGAGTTTGCCTGGGGGGGAAGTTATTTTTGGGGGGACATCAAGGGGGGTCTTAAGAATTTTTTTGTCATTTAAAGATTTCACCTGCCCCCAACCCCCCTCCTTCCCCTTCTGCCATACATTATGAACACAGCCTAAAAAACTTCTGGGTAATTGACTTAAGTCATGACATGGCTGATTCACAGATTGAATTGGAGTTTAGAGTGGTAGGTTTTGAGGACAGAGGAAAACTTTTACCCTGGACTCCAAAACGCTCCCTTGTGCCTTTGGCACATGCTTGTTATAACTACAGGAAGTGAAATGGAACCTCAGGAGCCCAGAGTAGAAAATTGGAGAACCCAGAGAAAAACCTTTGAATCAAGGCTAGGGAGTTGGCTAGGGAGGGATCCAACAAGCTCTACTCTCACATGGTGTAATGCCAAGTCCAGGAATCGCACCTGAAACCCCAGATGTTAGAGTTGAGTACACTATAGTTATACTAAAGTTTTCATAATATACCTTCAGTCTTCAGAGCTCTTCCAGTTCATAGTTGTTCAAGTCAAACTTTATCTGCCTAATTCTCCTTCAATTCCTTCAAGACGGAAAGGCAACAATCGATCTGATGAATTTGAGTAAGTTAACTATGGGAAAAATATTTCAAATATTCCTTTCAAAATCTAATATTTTGCATGACAGTATTCCCAGACCTTTCAGATGTGTCAAGTAGACATTTCTGAAATGTGTTTAGGTATGTTTTTAATTGACTATTTTTGTTGCAGTTTTGTAGTGGTGTTACTGGAATGTTTGATCTGTATGTTCAGAGAAACAGAAATTCTACCATCACGCTTGAACGTCCTTAAAACTAACAAGTAAGAACTTTTGGTTCATTGCATCTGTATTTCCAATCTGTTTTCTGTTTTGTCTCCTCAGATGTAAAATTTTCACATTTCAAACCTGTTTAATATAATTAAAGTGCTACTCTGACGAAAATCGCTCAAACTTGGATTCAGCTGAAACTTCCTAAGAATACTCTTTAAAGGTCCAATAATCACTGTATGAAGCATTTTCTCGATATTCAGGACAAAAGTATGATATTTTTACGATTACTTTTTGGAGTCTGTGACATCATACACTCAACATTTATACCATCCTGTAACTAAAAAATAATGTTCAGTCCATGGGATTCAGACTTGGGTTTGAGTTGAAGACATTTACACTGATGAAGGTCTGATAAATGTATTTTTTAGCACTGTGTATGCTAATTTATTTTAAATTTGTGTATTAACTACCTATGTAGAGGACAATCTTTGGTTGATCTTCTTGAGTCAATCATGGCTACACCAACATTATCGCGTCCCAAGTCAGAACCTCCTAAGATATCACCTGCTGCTCAGCTACTGTTGATGGGAACAAGTCAGGATTCAGTACTGTCCAGACGAGAGGATGAGGTGAGTATATGAAGAATATAAAGGATAATATTTGTTCTTTCTGTTGACAGTTTTTCTCTTAGAGATCATAATGTGTTTCAAATACCTTCCCTTCTCTCTCTCCTTCCTTCCTTCCTTCTTTCCTTCCTTCCCTCCCTCCCTCCCTCC